GCAACTGGAAGAATTTTTCAGACCTGGCTCCCTGCCTTGCTTGGACTTGAAATGAAACATGGCATCGTTAAATTAGACTGGTCACACAGAACTCTTGGACCCCCAAGGAATGACCATTTACCACCGGTGCTAATTAAAAAGCGTAAAATTCTCCAGGCGGCAAGGGAAAGGGATGGCTGTCTTAAGAAGACTGCAGTATCTCTATCACACAAGATCTCTCAGTCATAGTGAAAGAGGCTTGACGTGCATTTAACAAAGTCTGTAGTCAGCTCATCCAGACGGAAATCGGATTCATGATGCGCTTCCCCGCAATGTTATGCTTCAGCTACAATTGAGATAAGTACTCATTCGTCAAGGGAAGCTAAAACCTTTCTGGAAGGATTGAGGTGACTGAGATGACTGAATGATCAGTCTTACCAGTGCTCTTTAGCGATTAAGAAGCAACTAGAACTAGAAGAAAAAATCTTAAGACTGGCAGGGGAATTATTATCTTCTTCTAAGTCTTTAGTTCAACAATTAAGCGCTAGAAAAGCTCTAAAAAGCTGAATCTTCTATTTTTTTGCCAAACATAAACTGTTTGAATCCGGAAATAAACCAGGACATCTTCTTGCTCATCTGGCTAGGGGGAGAATGATGGGTAATGCAATATCATCTCTTAAAGATGAAAAGGATGTGCACCATCCCACCTAAAGGGTGTCCTACCTAACCTGATAAACCCTGACCAAACTGGTTTTATACAAAAACGTTATTCCAGTTCAAATATAAAAACGCTATTAAATGTGATTCAGTTTACTAATCTGAAGCAATTACTGTGTCTTTAGACGCAGAGATAGCTTTCGATAGGTTAGAGTGGGGATATTTGTTTGAGGCTTTGCAGAGGTTTGGTTTACGGGGTGACTTTCTGAAATGGATCCGGGTTATTTATCGTTCACCCTCAGTGTGTGTTATAACCAATTGTTTGAGATCTGATCCCTTTCCTCTTGCTAGGGGTACGAGACAAGGCTGTCCCTTCAGCCCCTTGTTATTCTTGTTAGCTCTCAAACCGCTGGCAGAGTTTATTAGACAGCATGAAAATTTTGGTTGGGAAGACAATGCATAAAATAACATTGCATGCAGATGAATTTTTTCAACTTGATGTTTTATTTGGCTTATTTTCAGGCTATAAAATCTATTTTGATTCCATTAGGCAACTTTGACATGGGATCAGTAACAAATTTTCCCTTTAATTGTCTCAAACAAATCGTAACCAACTCTGGAAACTGAATTTTGCACCCTTAATGGACATGATGAAAAGGGACCTGGGATGGTGGCACAACCTCTTCCTCTCATTTTTGGGTAGAATAAGTTTGATTAAGATGAATATCCGTCCCCAGCTATTATACCCTCTTCAGATGCTACCTTGTGGATGCCTAGATGAACAGCTGCAGACATAGAACAAACTCCATCAAAGTTTATGCGGCATGGCAAAAAACCTAGACAGAAATTTGCAGAAATCATCTGATAGGGGTGGTCTTGCTGTGCCAAATATTACATTCTATAACTGGGCCTGCCATGCTAGGTTAATTTGGGAGTGGTTTTGCGATTATTCTAACCTACGGATTTCTGTGGACTCCTGGGCCTGTTTTCCATTTTCGCTGTGGAGTCTTATTAGGTATGACAACAAATATATTAATCCAATTATTACAAAGAACCCTATACTTTATAATTCTATTAAAGTGTGGCGTCAGATTATAAGATATCTTAAGAGAAATGGGGCCTTATTTTTTGCTGACTCCCAAATGTAGAAATCCAGAATTTTTCCCTGGTGTAACCTCTACGCTTCTCGGCGACTGGCATTCTAAGGGAATATGTGTGATAGGGGAGCTTTTTCAAGACAATACTGTAATGTCGTTCCAGCAGCTGCAACAAATATTTGACATTTCAAAGCAAGATCATTATGGGTTTTTACAAATTCGTCGCTACATTACTGCAAAATTAAAGTCTTTTTTGGACATCCCCTTATATAGTGAGGTGGAACTTTTTTTCCCATTAACACAAAGAATGCAGCTCATTTTATATCAAAATTTTATTCATTTATACTTTCAAGGTTCACAACGTCAAAGCTAGTGTAATTTGTAAATGAGAGACGGACTTGGATAACATATATACACCACGTTCCAAATTATTATGCAAATGATATTTTTCTCAGATTTTCCTAAATGGTCGATGCAAATGACAGTCAGTATAATTTCAAAGTCATCAACCGTTAGAGTATAAATCGAATTTTGTCGAACAAACCTCCCAGTGATATCAGTATTTTTTCAAAAATAAAAAAACTCATTCACTGTTTCAAATTATTATGCACAACAGTTTCAAAACATCTTATAGGTTGTAAAGAACTGAAAATGGTCATTTGATGAATTTGTAGCATTACGAGGTTACATTTACTGAAATCAAAAGCTATTTCAATCAAAAACATCCTAACAGGCCAAGTTACATGTTAACATACGACCCCTTCTTTGATATCACCTTCACAATTCTTGCATCTATTTAACTTGTGAGTTTTTGGAGAATTTCTGCTTGAATTTCTTTGCAGGCTGTCAGAATAGGCTCCCAGAGCTGCTGTTTTGATGTGAACAGGGGAGGATGGTGGCCACACCATGAGTTTCCCTCCGTATATGCCCATAGTAGCAGCCAATGACACAGAGGTATTCTTTGCAGCATGAGATGGTGTATTGTCATGATGATTTTGCTTCTTTTTGTACCATGGAAGAAAGTGGTCGGTCAGAAACTCTATATACTTTGCCGAGGTCATTTTCACACCTTCAGGGACCCTAAAGGGGCCTACCAGCTCTCTCCCCATGATCCCGGCCCAAAACATGACACCTCCTTGCTGATGTTGCAGCCTTGTTGGGACATGGTGGCCATCCACCAACCATCTACTACTCCATCCATCTGGACCATCCAGGGTTGCACGGCACTCATCAGTAACACAGCCTCAGTCTTTAAGTCTAGGCTAAAAACTTACCTGTTTAGTGGAGCCTTTGGTTAATTAGTTTTCCTGTTAGAATAAGGCGCAGATCTGGGACAGAGAGTAATGGTAATGGTAATCTGGGAATGTTGATGCTGAACTAACTATCTGTCCCCCTTACACCCCCCCTCCCCGTCTCTTTCCCTGAGCTGAGCGGCTGCCCGTCCTAAGAGGGTGTAATGCGAACACCGCTCAATCACGTCCCAGGGGGATCTGATGCGGCCGGCGCACTGCACAGTGGTGTAAAACTGTATCTACTTATACTGTTTTGTGTCTGTGCTGTTATCCGGTGTTGACCAGAGGAGGATGGGTTCCCCTTTTGAGTCTGGTTCCTCTTGAGGTTTCTTCCTCCTGTTGAGGGAGTTTTTCCTTTCCACTGTCGCCAAGGCTCACTGGGGGCGTGGCCCCGGATTCTCTGTAAAGCTGCTTTGTGACAACATCTGTTGTAAAAGGCGCTATATAAATAAATTTGACTTGGGCCCACTGCAACCGTTTCTACTTGTAAGCACTGGATAGGAGTGGCCGAATAGTAGATTAATGCACAGCTGAAAGCATCTGGAGAATCCTACACCTTGAGGTTTGCGGGACTCCAGAGGCACCAGCAGCTTCAAATACCTGTTTGCTGCTTTGTAATGGCATTTTAGCCGCTGCTCTCTTAATCCGATGAAACATCTGTGCTCTGAATCAGCCACAAATCTCTTCACAGTACGATAATTACGCTTAAGTTTTCGTGAAATATCTAATGTTTTCATAACTTGTCCAAGGCATTGCGCTATTTGACACTTTTCGGCAGCAGAGAGATCCTTTTTCCTTCCCATATTGCTTGAAACCTGTGGCCTGCTTAATAATGTGGAACGTCCTTCTTAAGTAGTTTTCCTTTAATTGGGCTTACCTGGCAAACTAATTATCACAGGTGGCTGAGATTAATTTCAGTGAGCCCTGAGACACAATACCATCCATGAGTTTAATTGAAAAACAAAAATTAAATCTTTATAACACTTAAATCCAATTTGCATAATAATTTGGAACACGGTGTAGATGATGATTGGCAGGAGGCCATAGTGTCTGTGAGAAGTACTTTCTCTGCAACAGATTAAGGGAAACACAATACAAGACATTATGCAGATTACATATAACACCATGATACTGAATAAAATTGATCATAATACTTCACCTGTCTGTATGAAGTACCATACACACTTGGGGACAAACTTTCATTCCTTTTGGGAGTGTGAACTGATTTTGAGATTTTGGAAATGTATAAGTCAGGTAATTGGCAGAATTCTTAACATAAAACTAAAAGATCCAGGTTTGTTTTTATTAGGCCTCCCCTCTAAAACAGTTTCACTATCCCCTCTACATCATAAACAGCTTGATAAGCTGTTACTCCTTGCTAGGAAATGCATTCTTGTTAACTGGCTAAGCGAGATGCCACCATCTGTTACTCAGTGGTATAGGGAAATATTTAGGATACTTCCTCGTGAAAGATTATTTGCAGTACTCAGGGGCAACGACTTGTTATTTATGAACATTTGGAGACCATTCATAGAGCATCTGCCTCTGGAACTCATAGATACTATATTAAAAGGTCAGTACTCTTTAGAATGGAAGGTAGTGCATGTGGGTAGCGCACCCAGTTTTAGTATATTGTGAAGAATATGGAATTATGTTTTTCTGAATCTCTTTCAAGTGTTCCTTATTCATATAGGATGGCCTTGTTTTGGTTGGGATGGGGAGTTATGTTTTTTTCTTGTTCTTATGATACCACATTCTCATTGCTCATGATTGTCCTGTAATTGCTAAAAGCAATAAAAATGAAAGAAATTCAAGACCTTGATAATTAACTGTACACATGTTAAAAAGTGCTTCAGAACACTGATACCTGCAGGGTCACCTATTTGTTAAACAAATTATAATATTTAATGTTTTGTTCATCCAACATTTAACTTTAATTTTAAACAAATTGATGTTGTCTGATTCTCTCTTTCAGTGTCTGAATCAGCTGTTCCTCCAGTGAAGGTGAATCTTCATGACTCTGCTACTCTGCCCTGCTCTGAGAGATGCTCTGGTTTGGTCAGATGGACTGTGTTCAGTAAACCCAGTGACACTCTGGCTGAGTGTGATCAGACTTCATGTAGATCAGTGAAGGAGGGATATCAGATGATCCATGATCAGTACCTGAAGGGGAATCTCTCTCTCACCATCACTGACGCTGATTTCACTAAGAGAGGCTGGTACACGTGTCAGTGTGATGGTAAAGACGTCAGTGATGTTCATCTACAGATTGAGCGTAAGTATCTGTTTTCTTCACTGACCACTCCAACATGTTGCACACGCCGACGCACTGTCTCAGATAAGGAACAACAGGCAACGTGGCGCTTATATGTTAAAGTCTATGGTTACTGCGAAATTATTGAGTACAGGCCGGTGCAATTCAATCCAGCACTCCAGGATAAATGTTAGCTGTAGTTCTCTGCACGCTCGCCCGTTAGATTCTGTACTGAATTCTGTTTGAAACGTTCTGAACTCTGTGTTTGAATCGTACTAAAGTGTGTGTTTGAATCATTCTGAACTGTGTTTGAATCGTACTAACCTCTTTGAATCATTATTGATATCTGTTTGAATCATTCTGAACTCCGTTTGAACCATACTGACCTCTTTGAATCATTACTGATATCTGTTTGAATCATTCTGAACTCCGTTTGAACCATACTGACCTCTTTGAATCATTACTGATATCTGTTTGAATCATTCTGAACTGTGTTTGAATCATACTGAACTCTTTGAATCTTTACTGATATCTGTTTGAATCATTCTGAACTGTGTTTGAATCATACTGAACTGTGTTTGAATCATTCTGAACTCTGTCTTTGAATTATACTGATCTCTGTGTTTGAATCATTCTGAACTGTGTTTGAATCATTCTGAACTCTGTCTTTGAATTATTCTGATCTCTGTGTTTGAATCATTCTGAACTGTGTTTGAATCATACTGAACTCTGTCTTTGAATTATACTGATCTCTGTGTTTTAATCATTCTGAACTCAGTGTTTGAATTATACTGAACTCAGTGTTTGAATCATTCTGAACTGTGTTTGAATCATACTGATCTCTGGGTTTGAATCATTCTGAACGTAGTGTTTGAATCATTCTGAACTCAGTGTTTGAATCTTTACTGAAATCTGAATCGTTCTGAACTCTGATTGAATCGTTCTGAACTCTGTGTCAGAGCATCATATTTTCCAGCTTTCAGCATGTGTAAACATGTGCCCTAATAGTTAGAGTTTGGCTTTTTATTTGTTATGATTTCTATTATTATTTGCATAAAAAGTTGAGTTGGAGGAAATGCATTTCACTCCAGTCCGTTCTGTATGCAGTTTTTCAGGAGAACAAACTGTTGTTAAGGCCTGTATGATCATTGTTAGCCATTAGTTTAATTATCAGTAGTTATCTGAATCGTTCTGAACTCTGATTGAATCGTATCTGAACAAACAGATACTTTCTCTAGGCTCTGCCCACAAATGTCAAGTCAAAGATTACTTATATAGCGCTTTTTACAACAGGCGTTGTCACAAAGCAATTTTACAGAAAAAAAAAAAACATCTGAGATCGAGCCGCCATGAGTGCCACCAACGGCAACAGTGGCAGGAAAAACTCCCTAAGAGAAAGAGGAAGAAACCTTGAGAGGAACCACGAGTCAGAGGAGAACCCATCCTCATCTGGACCACACTGGATAGCAAACAGTAACAGCAGAGAATAAGGTTGATACAGAGAAGGGGAAAAGCAGGAGAAGCAACGTCTATGATTGAAAGATGCAGCAGCATCATCAGGAGGGTCAGTTCATGCAGGTGAGGTTTGCACAGTGTTGTACAGCGAGAAGCTCCATGGTGGTCAAACCGGTCCAGAAGGCTGGTGAGCAGTGGCACCCGGTCAAGGCAGAAGAAGCAACAGCATCAGACACACAGGATGGGCAGCTGTTCAACTCAGCAAAGAAAGGAAACACACAGAGAGTCAGTTGTGTAATGAGTGACTGATCAGATTACAGTATTAACAGAGCAGCAGAGACTCCGGCAGGTCTAGTTATTACAGCCTAACTAAAAGGGAGAAACCAGAAGGTAACAGAGTCAGGAGGCTCCCTGAGATGTTGGCACCCCTCCACTCTACCGTCAACAAATGTGAGTGAACGCGTGAGGCAGTGGGACAACAGCACCAACACTCCCAGTTCACCATAACACTCTATGACCATGAACCCCAGATCTGCATCTTTCATCTCACAGGGAAAAGTAATTACCAAAGGCTCCACTAAAGAAGTGGGTTTTTAGCCTAGACTTAAAGACTGAGGCTGTGTCTGAGTCCCGAACACTGACTGGAAGATTATTCCAAAGCTGGGGGGCTTTGGATGAGAAGGATCCACCCCCTGATGTAGCCTTATTAATTCTAGGTACTAATAGTCAGCAGCACCTTGCGATCTAAGTAGACTCTAAGTTTATATCACAATACCTACATTTAGAGTCGGTTATTCATTCAGCCTAATGAGAAACTGTAGAACAGACTCAGTTTATATCACAATACCTACATTTAGAGTCGGTTATTCATTCAGCCTAATGAGAAACTGTAGAACAGACTCAGATTATATCACAATACCTACATTTAGAGTCAGTTATTCATTCAGCCTAATGAGAAACTGTAGAACAGAATCAGTTTATATCACAATACCTACATTTAGAGTCGGTTATTCATTCAGCCTAATGAGAAACTGTAGAACAGACTCAGATTATATCACAATACCTACATTTAGAGTCGGTTATTCATTTAACCTAAAAAAAAAAAAAACACCTTCATTCTGATAGAAATGATGCCTTCAGACACCGGGAACTACACTGTACAGGAGAAGGACAACACACCGGTCAGCATTTCACATGTGACCGTCACAGGCGTGTATAATTTAACTTTGTGTCCTGTATAATTACACACCAAACCTGTGACAAAATCATTGTAACACATGGCCTCTTGTGGCTCAATCGATCAGATTGTAGAACCAAATCTGTCTGTTTTCAGTAGCCGTTTAACATCATATCCACACACTGAAACCCTGGGCTCTACCATCATATCACTCTTAGATCTCACAGTCTTTTCAATCTGGAATAATCTGTTTTGCTCAAATATCACTAAAAACCAATAAACATGCTAGTTCAGTTGCAAGCATGTGTTATGCTGCATTTGAAAACCTGTGAAAATGATAAGCTACATATAATACTCCACAGTAACTGAGCTGATAGAAATAGTGAGGTCTTATGAGTGAATATTTTGTGATGTCTCTCATTTTAATGGTCATTTAGACCACCGATGCCCTGATCATCTCTTTATTCTCTCATTCTTGATGAATTTTATACAAATTGATTAAGTGGCAACCAGTCAGATTGTTGATGTGTGGCACAGTAACTGATTGTGTCTCGCCCACAGTCACACAGTGTGATTTAACACTGGAAAGCACAATGAGTGAAAGACATGGTTGATAAAATGTTGTACCATCAGATGATTTTGTTAAATGTTTAAACAGTATTAGGCTGCTTTGGGGGTTTAGAACTGGCCTTTATCTCTGCACACACTTTCTCTTTTTAAGCCTCAACCTGTGTGTTTTAGCAATGCCCACAAAGCGGCCAGCCGTTGTTGAGGGAAGTGATTTGACTCACACAGTATACTCAACTAAAACAGGATAACAGGATTGTGGGGCTCATAGTTTAAAGTCAGATCTGACCTTAAATGTTTTGGCCTGTGTGACATTCTGCGTGTTATTTGAGGATCTCTACATTGTAAAATGGTTCTTCACAATGGTTCTATACATTTTTTTTCTTTTACGTTTTACGTTGCTACAATAGAAGAACACTTTTTGATGCTATATAGAACCCTTTCCAAAATATTCTATATAGAACCATCTGAAGAACCATTTTATGATGCAAAGAACCCTTTAATCATGAAATGGTGTTCATGGTTCTATATAGAACCATTGTCTATACTAAAGAATCCTGGGTGAACCATCCTTTGTAAGTGCATAGGAGCACTACTACACATCCTAGTTTGCAGTTTAATCCAGATTTAGTTCAAAGTGATTTGTGGTTGATATGTTCTATAAATAATTCTATTGATTTATTATTGTATCAAATAGTAAATCAATAGAACTAATTACAGAACATTAATTAACTCAACATTAACATTAATTGCAGGCTTGTAAACAGGAGTGCCAGAATGGTGCAGTAGGCTAAGCATTCGCTGCATTATCAGGAGATCATGAGTTTAAATCCAATCTAGTCTACAGTCATCTGCAGCTGGTAGTCATGGAGGATGAATCACAGGTAGACTCTGTTATCTGAGTGTGGTGACTCTGTGTAAGACGGAAAGTCCCTCCAGGGAATGTAACTGCTGCACCATTTAAGGTGGAACTGGAACATTCAAACGAGAAGCTGGAGAAAGTCCTGAGAAAATGTTACCAGCGTTAAAATAATAATTAGGATATTTTGATAGCCTAGATGAAGAACAGAGAACTGCTCCTTTTGTCCTGACTTCTCTTCAACTGCCCTCAGTCTGTACATGGAAATATGCTACCACACTGACAAAGGTTGACAGTCTAATGACGTGAATTCAGTAGCTTTAGCTCACATGTAGCAATATTCATACTTCAACTCTTTATGACCTCGTAATTCAGAGGATCCAGTGGTATTCGAGAGAAGAATGTTCACAGGACAAAGCGTATCAGCTCTGGAACATCTCTGATTATCAGAGGATGCAACAGAGGCAAATTTCTAAAACTCCATTCATTCTTCTCATGGAGAAATTCCTTTTAGACCGGGAGTTCCTTAAATGAGCATAAGAGCATGGTGCATGGTGGGGATGGTTTAGCTCAGGGGTGCACAACTCCAGTCCTGGAGGGCCGCTGTCCAGAACAGTTTGGTGATTTACCTGCTCCAACACACCTGATTACTCTTATCTGTTCACTGCCAGATTTAGTGGGTGTGTTTGAGCGGGGACACCTCCAAACTGTGCTGGATACCGGCCCTCCAGGACTGGAGTTGTGCACCCCTTGTTTAGATTTTCATTGCCACCTTGTGGTATATCATCTATAACCTTATAAAAGTTTGGACCACCTTATCAATGTATAGTTACCACAGTGACGTTCCAACAAGAAGCCCCAGTAAAAAATAACAACCTTTGGAAACGGAACTTTGGCACATTTATACTGTCCAAAAATAAATAATGCTTTCCTGTTAAAGCAGTTACTCAAAAATAACACACA